TTTTTTTTCAACAATATCACCTTTCCCAAAAGGGCTTCAGAAAGTTATTGTTATCATTTGTTTTTAAGTGGGAAGGGAAAAATGGGATGAGAATTTTTACTCCACTCTGTAAAAACTACATTACTGCAAACCAAAGGTTTAAATTACTCTAAAAGGTAGATTTTTTTCTTTTACATACTACTCTCACAATCAATATTTAACAAAATCGAGAATGGAATTTTCTTTACTAGCTCTTTACTTCTATTCCAGGAAAGCTTTCATCATCAAGGCATTAGGGTTACTAAAAATTTCACATGGTTACATGAAAAAAGAATATTGCCTAGATGATGTGATGACAAAATAATGACAAGCATCTGAGAAAACGCAGATGTGGAAAATGACGTGTGCTTTTTTCCTTAATCTATTACCATTTTGATCAAGTTGAACATAAGTTTATGATTACGAAATGCTCTAATAATTATTGTATTCATCTGCTTTTTTATAGTTCTTTAAAAATATCTAGAAATGCATTTATTCACGAAACACTTATTTCTTGTCTCCTTTACATGAAGACTACGTGAAATTCTGGAATCACATTTGTTTTTTCTTCCAATCAAACATTTAACAATTGAGATGACAGCCAAGAACTAAAAATAGCTATTCTCTGGATAAAAAAAAATGTGGCATTTATACACAATGGAGTATTACTCTGCATTAAAAAATGACAAAATCATAGAATTTGCAGGGAAATGGATGGCATTAGAGCAGATTATGCTAAGTGAAGCTAGCCAATCCCTAAAAAACAAATGCCAAATGTCTTCTTTGATATAATGAGAGCAACTAAGAACAGAGCAGGGAGGAAGAGCAGGAGGAAAAGATTAACATTAAACAGGGATGAGAGGTGGGAGGGAAAGGGAGAGAGAAGGGAAATTGCATGGAAATGGAAGGAGACCCTCAGGGTTATACAAAAGTACATACAAGAGGAAGTGAGGGGAAAGGGAAAAATAATACAAGGGGGAGAAATGAATGACAGTAGAGGGGGTAGAGAGAGAAGAGGGGAGGGGAGGAGAGGGGAGGGGAGGGGGGATAGTAGAGGATAGGAAAGGCAGCAGAACACAACAGACACTAGTATGGCAATATGTAAATCAATGGATGTGTAACTGATGTAATTCTGCAATCTGTATATGGGGTAAAAATGGGAGTTCATAACCCACTTGAATCAAAGTGTGAAATAAGATATATCAAGAAATTTGTAATGTTTTGAACAACCAACAATAAAAAATTTTAAAAAAATAGCTATTCTCATTTCTCATTTTGGACCCATGCATTTAAAATTCTCCAAACTAGTAGCTTTTTTTTAATATTTATTTTTTAGTTGGACACAATATCTTTATTTATTTATTTATTTATATGTGATGCTGAGGGTAGAACCTCGGGCCTCACTCACACGTGCGAGGGGAGCACTCTACCACTGAGTCACAACCCCAGCCCAAACCAGTAGCTATTTGAATGGAAAAGTGGTAGATGAGTATTCATTTCCCTAGGAAGCATGTGAAATTGATACCTACAAAAAGTTACTATTGTTTTTGGCATCTAAGCAAGAACCCTCACAAAGTTCCTTGACAAATTTCCATGAAAAGTAAAGTTTACATTGAACTTGCTCTCACTTTCCTTTCTCTGATCTTCTTCTATATTTGATAGTCCCTCTTCTGCATTATTTATTGCCTTCACTTATTTATTCTATTCACTCACTCATCAGCCAGTTGCTTTTAAAACAAGAGTATGACAATTTACGATAGAGGAAACAAATATCTGAAAGATAGTAACCTTGTTTAAAGCAGGTGTCAATTCTGTTATAAAGATAAGCCATGCCCAGACATAACCAACATAGAAAGAACTTGATCCATGCTATTTAGTGCATGGAGTTGAAAGTTCAGAGAACGTAAAACACCCAACTTCTATTGCAATTGAAACCTGCCTGCCTTGAAGTAACCCTTCCTTTCATTTAGAGGTTTTCAACTTTGGCTGCATGTGAGAATCACTTGATGAGTTGTTTCTGTTTTTGTTTTTTTTCATCACCAGATATTAAACCTCTGAGTTACATTCCTAGCCCCCTTTTTTACTTTTTGTTTTGAGGCAGGGTCTCACTAAGTTGGTCTTGAACTTGTGATCCATGTGCCTCAGCCTCCTGAGTATCTGAGATTAAAGGCACATGCCATTGCTCGTGGCTCATCTGCTTGCTTTTTAAATCAAATCAAATTTACTTAGATCAAATATCAGCACTGTTTAAAAAAATCTTTAGAGATAGGACCCAGATGTGTGAATTTTAAAAACTGGTTAATCCAATATTCAGTCCTGGTTGAGACCCCCTCTTTTAGCTAATTCAGAATATTAAGGGACATTAGCATGCTAAGGGATATTCCTTGATATTCTTTTAAATCTCATATTACCCAAATCTCAATATTACTTTTTTTTTTTTTTTTTTTGCCACATTACTGTGAAGAGGACAAGAAAAAAGGGATGACTTTGGAGAAAATATTCACATACTTCATTCTCTTAACAACAGCAAAAAAAAAAAAAAGCAAACAAAACAAAAGCAGTAACAACAAAACTCTTTCTAAGTTCTTGAGGTAGAGAATTAAAAATTGCGAAAGAGAAAAAGAGGAGAGAGAGAGAGAGAGAGAGAGAGAGAGAGAGAGAGAGAGAGAGAGAAAGAGAGAGAGAGAAGACATTTTGGTAATCCTTGGTGGAATTAGGGGTCATGTGGCAAGAAAGGCATTTCTTCTCTTGTGTATTGTTTGAAAGACTCTGGGAAGAAATCTGATCATCTGTGGAAGGTGAGATGGGGCAGATCAACGTTGTTGGTTAGATGGGAAAGTCCTGGATATAGGGAATGGAATAGTAGTAGGAGGCCTGATTTGTTTTGACAACAGACCTTTAGTATTTATTCCAATAAGTTTCACAATATTAGATAGTGGCCAAGTTATTCAGTCCTTTTATAGGACCTGTAGAAACAAAACAAAAAACAAAAGACAAATCATAAATCAGGACTAAGATTCTGAGCTCTAGTGAGATGGGAGGATGGACGGGTGGAGTTAGGGAACTCTAGAAAAGAGCCCCTGAATTTGCTCATGGTTATGAAATTGTGCAATGTGTTGGAATATATCCCAAAGTGTTATTAGCAAATAAAAACTAAATGAAATAAATTTATTTTGAAGTGTTTTGTTTAATCATAGTGACCAAATACACCTTTCCCATGTACATTCTTTATATATTAACATTGGAAACATGAAGAGGAAAGCCCAAATTTACACTTCTTCATTCCTTTATTATTACTTGGGTTACAAATGAATTCTTTGGGTTCCAGATTCCTTGTCAGTGAATTGGTGGGTAATATCTATTTCAGAGATCTTGTAAGAATTGGAGAAATAATACACTTGAAGTTCTTAATGATTTCAAGTATATTTCTCTTATTTCCTTTGTTGTTAGTGATGTAATTTTTATGGCAGCCCAAATTCTTGCAGATGGAGGGGATGCAAAAGAATTTTATATGATGTAAATATACTAATGGCATAAACAAATTCTTAGGAAGGAGATGGAGACTAGCTTGTTCAAGTCTCAACATGGTAGATAGAGTGTTCTGCCTTTAATAAACTTGCATAATTTATTAAAGGAAGTTGATTAAATTTTTATGATGCTTTTTTTTTTAATCTAAAACAATGTCTTACTCTAGGTTGGGGTGGCAAATTCAAATGCTAGCAAGGCCCTTAAATCCTGGGATGGGGTGGTGTTTGGCAAACTCTTCCAGGCACAGCCTCTACTTGTGTCCGGCAGACTGTTCGTATGCTGGCTTGTGGGCTCAGTTGTTGCTAGATTTGATTTTTCAAGAAAAAGGCAGATCCATGTAAATTTAAAGACTTCCAGTTTTTAAGTGTTGACAACTAATTCCATTTTCTTTCAACATCATGTGCGCCAAACCAAACATATCTGAGTACAGCTTGTGTGCTACCAGTTTGCGACCTTTGGATTTTGAAGGTCTCTCCTACTTCCAATGCTCTGAGTCCAAAAATAATTGTATCCATCTTGCATAAGGTGCTCACCCTAATCATTAGAAATTCAGTTATACCCACTCCCCCGCCTTTCAGATATGTCATAATTAATATTACTTTGTAGGAAATTCTTATGAAAATAGCTTCCTATTCCAAAGTTAAAATTAATTATATTTCCTGTTATATTAAAGCACATAAGCTCAATTTTCTGGATGTTAATTTTATCTTTTTACAACATCTGGTGGCTGGTTTCAGTTCCCTAGGATCCAACATTACTTTGTGCCAACTCTTGAGAGGTAGAACTTTAATCAACTTTAACATTTATGAAGTTGAGTGCTTTTTAAAAGTCTTAGAGAAACATAATCTTTCATCCTACCTGTTTTGAACTGAATTGTGTCCTCCAGATTCATCTGTGGAACCCAAACATCCAATGTATTTGGAGATAGGGCCTTGAACAAGGTAATTAAGGTTAAATAAGATTTTATGGGTAGTACCTAATCCAATAAGACTTGTTGTCTACATAAGAAGAGGAAGGAACAGTAGGAGTATGCTCTGCACAGAGGAAAGGCCGCATGGAGAAAAACAAAGAGAATCAGGTGAAAACCAGTAAAAGAAGCCCTACCATAAACTAAGCTAGTCAGTCACTACCTTGATCTTGGACTTCCAGTTGCTGTGAGAAAAATTAATTCCTGTTGTTTACATCACCCAGTCTGTGGTATTTTGTTATGGCAGCTTGAGTAATACACTACCTGTAACTAGCCTGATATCTTTGTTGCCTGAGGTCTTTGAGCTTTGGGGCTCTTTAAAAATTCTAGTCATTCTCAGAGAAATCCTTCTTTTAGACTCTTCTTTCCATGTGACTTCCTAAGACATCATGGACATTACTGTATTTTCAACCAAACAAGTACCCGCTTTGGGAAATATATCAAACTGTCTTTATGATGGCAGAATACAAAACATTTGGTAACTCACCCATAAAATGTGAGATAGAGGAAACCAATCCTTTTCCCAAGTTTCGTTAATTCTCCTCGCTTGTTAGATGCTCCGGTGAGTCGCACAATGCCTACTTTCTTAAGGCTGGAGAGCCACTTGTATGCATGTTCATCATTTTTTAAAACATCTTCAAAACTTAGAGTAGGTAGCTGGAGCTCTGAACTCCAGTATTGACGTTCTGTGAATTAAGGAAACGAAATCATATGAGATTACATTGGTTTAATATAAGACAGGAACCTTTCTCTAGAGAAGGGACTAGGTCACTAGAGTTGATCTTTGATTGATCATGGAGATTACTAAATGCTAGTTTTACCAGAATCGCCTGTCACCAGGCCTTGCTTCCTGGGAGCCATGCCATTCTATGATATGCCTCTTGCTACAACTGTGTCTGGCACATAATCAGTATTCAGCATACTACATTTATTGAGGGAATGTTGTTTAACTATGTTCTTAGAAATTCCCTTCCAGGATACTGCTTAGAAGTGACTCTGAGACACTGTGAGTGTTAACAGCTAAGTTATATTTCTTAACTCCAAAAGGATGATAAAATCAGAATGGTGGACTAGAACAGCATATGCTTATTCTGTTAGGAGGGTAGGTACAGTCCTTTCTTTCTCTTATTTCACCTGATTAAAAGCTATAAGACTGTCTCTGGTATCAAGTTGTTCTTTGGAGTCAGTGAGAGTTGGTCATAGTGAAGGAAAGATGAAGGTGTGTTCCTAGGAGGCCTAGATGGCTTTGGAGGTGATATGCAGGATATAAAAGTCAAATGCCTTTCCTTAACCCTCTTCTTCCTGATGATTACATACTTATCAAAATGTTGATCTGAGAAAACATAATGAAAAACAAATGTAAACAGTATTTGATTTGCAAACTAGGCTTTGCCAAAGGAAATGGAGCACTGAGGAAATATAATTTTTCCAAAGGAAACAACTCAGATACTAACAACTGATTCAGGAAGGACCAAATGCTGGCTAATCCATTTCATTTTTTCCTTTCTTGGGAAGGAAATTGCCTTAGAAAGGCAAACCTTCCTAACAAGTGATAGAATGAGAACATATGATCTCAATATTATCCTGGGCAGCACTCCCTTTTCTAAGTAAGGAATATACCACATCATGGAAACCAACCCCAGAGCCCTCAGTTTAAGAATGGAGAATGGGTCAGTGCCACTTATACTCGTGAATTATAAATCATTTTCTCTTTGGTGTCATCATGGCTGGCTCTTCAGAAATAGGAGTTATTTTAGGAATCAGTAGCTTCAGTAGTGCAAAGGTATGGGCAGCTATTGAGTCACTTCTTGTTCTTCTACCAGCTAGCTGCATGAGGACTTTTGCAGGAGTGAGTAGGTGAGTTTATTCAGGAAGTCCAAATTAAGTGATTAATGCATATATTGCCAATGTTTCTAGGCTGTTAATCATGAAAGCTTGCATAATGAACTAGAATTTTTAAGATCTAAATTCCAAACTAAGCTTACCTGGCAGATGCATTAATTCAGATGCATTAATTTTCTTTAGTATTGAAGAGATTCTAAAGACTCAAGTGACTTACTATATCATCTTAGCAAGTCAAAGAGATATCTAGTTACTGTTTCCTAATTTTTCACTTTAACTCTTTACTCTCAGTGGGACTAACCAAAATAGTAACCAACTCACCTTGGCAAAGGAAAGCATGGGCCATGTTGCATTAGACCAGAGAAGGTTAGATGAGGCAATAGAAACCATGAGGTATGGAGGTTTCAGGATAATTATCTTAATTGTTTTTTTTTTTTTGAGAGTAGGATGGCATCTCTTGAGCATACTAGTTACCCAATAATTATTTATTCACTTATCTTTTCAATAAACCCAACATTTTACCATGTCACAGTCAACTATGGATAGGCAGTAGGTTTTAAGGAGCTCATAGTCTATGGGAGAATCAGACATGGAAGCTAACAATTAAAACACAGTATAATCAGTAGAGGTAGAGGAAAGGAATTCAGGGGAAAGGAGGAGGAAAAGAAAAGAGACCCACTGAGGATTTAAATTGACCAGATTATATTGTTATGCTGTGTGTATATATGAGAATGTAAGAACAGATACCACCATTATAACCAACACAAATATATAAATAAAAAACACAATAGGATAGATACCATAGTTGATGAATGTTTAAGAGGTATCAGGTCGTCTGATCTTTATCTAAAACTGTCTCTATAATGCCAACTATTCTTTTACATGTATGACGTTACTCAGGTCTGTTCCTTCATGCCTCAAGTATTTCTTCTTCTAAAGTCAAACAGAGCTGGCTTTATATGAAAGAGACTCTGTTCAAAGGAGGAATCTACTTGGCTTTGTTTTGAATATTAAATTATGTGGCTGTTTGCTTTACCACTCCCATTTACTCATTGCATTTTAAGCCCTACATTGTAATACCTGATGTCAATCAAAAAGGTCGGCAAAAAGAAGATGATAAATGTCATGTGTATTACATATTGACTACCTTTCTAGGAAGGTCATTTGGTTTCCAGCTAGGAGAAAAATTTCCTGGGGCAAATATCAGTGTTATGGGAGTAGATAACCAGTCACCATCTTCCTTCTAAAGTTAATTTCTCTACAGACTATATTCAGAAACTTAAAAGAAAATGTGAGAACATTTTTACCTTAGTGAGTCTCAGAAGAAAATTACGGATACACATAGTACTAGAGCTGGATGAATGTTAGAGAATCATTTGGCATTTTCATACTGGCTTTAGATTTTCCATCCCCATTAGTTTTTATCATTGGGTAAAAATTTGCCTAAAGTACCACTGAGAATTTTTCTAGTATTCTGGCACGGTGCTAATCTGTGCAAATACATGTTTTCCATTCTTATGCAGCCTGTTGGATGGAATTAGCTACTGTCTGTATGTGTATCTATAACAAATGCATCGTCTTTATCACCAAGGTTTTGTAACTTATTAACAAAAATTTATTATAATTTTTAGAAAACACACTTTTTGCTATTGTAAGTCAGCCTAGACAGACTGGTATAGATCATAGCAATGTTCATTAGAACTTTCTGAATTCGTGGAAATATTCTATTATCTGCACCATCCAGTGCCATAGCTATTAGCAACCAATGGCTGTTGAAACTTGATATCCAGCTAATGGAATTGAAAAACTATTTTTTTACCTTATTAAATTTTAATTAATTTAAATTTAAATTGACACATATGACTGGTGACATATAGGCATGGGCAGAACTTAGATGTCCTAATATGGGTTTTATTCATTGTTCTTCTTCTTATTAGCAAGTTTTTTGGGCTCTTCTATGAGTTTCAGTTTTTTTTTAATTTGTAAATTAGGGACAATTATATTTATCTTGTAGGTCTTTTGTGACCATGCAATGAGATTATGCAAGTTGTCTAACATAGTGCCTGGCACAGAGTAGACCCATAATAACAATAAAAATATTTAATATTTGCTGAATGTTTTCTAAGAGTAATCCCACTGCTACAAGTTTTACAAACTTTTTTTTTTAGCTACACAACAAAAACATGGGGTGTATGCTTTCAGAATTTCCATGCTACAACGAAGGAACTAGATGTCCAAGGCACATAGCTAATGATTTTCAGAGCTGGTCAAATCCAGGTGACAGGTCCCCAGGTCTGTAATTTCAAAAATTGTACATAAACACTTGATACCTTGAAGTGCTGTCATCATAGGCATTTTTGAATCCTATGTCTAAATGTCCATAGCTTGTCCTACCTTTATAAAGGAAGTCTACTAGGTAATACAGAAAGTAGGGCAAGTTAAATGAGGAACACTTTGTCTGAACTTGTTTGAGCATGGGCATTTAATGTTAAACCTTGGCTCCCTGTCAGAATTTTAAATGCAGAGAAAACATTAGGAATAGGGTTCATTGCACAACCCTGCAGCAACATCACTATTTACCTTTTGTGAAATGAGCCAAAGCTTTGCACATTTAAAAATCAGCTAACTTTAGCTTCTTTAATTCATGCCAATGCATTTCACTGATCCATTCCTTTTGGGTTTTATTTAAGGCCAGTATCACCTTTCAGAGAGTTTCAGTGACTGTGTGATAGTAAGATATAATAAACAGAGATTTAAAAGTTTTTTTTTACAAGATCTAATTGTTTTTAAAACTTTTGAGTTTGTGTTATGACTTATTTGTATATTTTAGAAAGCTCTGTTTAAGGAACATACTCTCTCTCTCTCTCTCTCTCTCTCTCTCTCTATATATATATATATATATATATATATACACACACATATATATATATATGGCATGTTTTCTTGAGAATATACTTTTTATAACATCTTCGCAAGAATTTTTATTTACATATGAGTTATTTTTTCCATTATAAAATAATGCATACACACAAAACTCCACTATTTTTAATTTTAGCAATATGGAAAGATTTAGATTCTTGTAATAAATGTTACTCTTTAGATATGTAAAATTAAGCATATTCACATATCAGAGACTCTGGAAAGAAACAAGCCTGTCAATAAAATATACAGCACAGGCCACTCTATAAATAACCTACAGCTTTCAGAATGTTAATGTCAAGAATACAGTTGCAATAGTTTTTAAGTTCTGTAGAACTTCTAATGTTTTTAACCATAGCTCTCATTTTGGAATGCCTTTGCAGGAGCTTTGCAGAAATCAGAAACCAAGGGACATAGCCCATCACAGAACCTATTATTGAATATGAACCACTCAAACACTGTGTTATACTAAATGTGACTTTCAGAGATAGTCCTGTGACTAGCCAGTTTCCAAATTCATCATGCTCTCTTGAATATAAAACGCCAATTTTCAGAGAGAAGTAGTAGTACTCTATTTCATTAACTCTAGTGGGAAAATTATTCTGTGATATCTGCACACAATATTAAAACTTTAACCTTGAAAGAGTAATTTAAGAACATTTTCCTATTTCCTACCAACTGCAAAACCTAACTATCAGGGGAGCTAAAAGAAAATACATCTGACTAGAGTAAATCATTTGTCAAGAGAATACATTAAAAACAAATTTAAGTTTCACGCTTGGGTCTGAATAATGACGGCATATTTAAGGTATGAACCACCCTTCTTAATTTAACTTATGGTCTTACTAATAAATACTTCCTTGAACATGTGCTTCACACATCATAAAATTTATGAACAGGCTACATACTGGCTTTCAAGGAACCA